CACCATTTGCTCCCATTCTTGATTCTCATTATGGACAGGGAACACAACATCCTTAAGCTTCCCATTGTTTGCTTCCTCTTCATCATCATCACTAATATGCCCTAAAAGTTTGTCCAAGAATGGGTCTCCAACAATTTTATCAAAAGTATGTTCCTCTTCATCATCCCATTCATGTTCATATTCCATTGTCATTGCCACTTCAGAATCCTTGTCATCCTCTTCATCCATATAATCTGACTCATACCCTTTACCATCTGCTAATAACTCGTTATCAGCCCAATCAAGAATTGGTTCATTTCGGTGGTCAATGTACACATCTAACTCACTCTGAAGACTATCACTCTCCAGACTATAAACAGTTTCCACAAACTCCCAATAATCAGCATCACAGGCGATTCTTCTAATACCCTCACACAAGCTTTCCTTTCTCATACAGTAGTAGACATTATCACAGGCTCCATTGGTTAATTTCGTAAGCCACAAAAGAAACTCTTTATACGTAAATCCCCCAAAATCCACATCACGTACATTTGTTTTTACGGGGTCTAAGTACACCAATGGGTTTGGCGAAAAGAATCCATTGTAATGAAAATCTACAGATACATACATACCTGTAGATGAGGATGCCATGCTAGCAGTCGACTTCAATTCCAACTTCAATTTCAAGCCCTAATCGTCGATTTGATGTATCGATTGATTTCTCACAGAAGAAGGTAATCGAGGTGTGTTAGCTGACGATGATGAACCTTAATTAAATGAGAAAGGGGTGTAATGGCCACGTAAGATTCCACGTAATGTTTTCAACCCAGCTAAATCAATGTTACCGGCTAAAACAGGTAATAGCCGGTAATGTTGGTTATTTTTGAACGGATGAAAAAAGTTAATTGGGTAAATGAGTACAAAAAAAACAATATTACCCATATGTGAACATTTAAAATACTTAATTACCTTAATAAGTCAAATTCCCTAAATGAAATGCTTCTTGAAGAAAAAAAGAAAAAAATAAGGATGATGCCATGCTTCTAGAAGAGAAAAAATAGATACACCTTATGTGGTGGGCCGGTGGCTTCTTGCTGGCTCATCTTTTTCTTGCCAGATGTAGATTAAATATTTTACATATTTTTAATTGATTATAATAACTTTTAGTAATAGTTAACGCAAAATTTGATTGAAGAACCATCGTTCATCGCATAAGTTATAGAATCGACTACAAAAGTACTAATTTGAAAGGCCCGATTTATCCATTTAATTTCTTTTATGTTTCAAAAAATATCTTTTACTTCAAAATTATTCACATAAAAAATGCTAATATGATCGGTCTAATTTAGATTAAAAATTTAAAACCAAAACAAGTTATTTACATGCGGATTGTTTTTAACAATATTTCATTTAACCTACCTTTGACATCATTAATACAATTTATATCGCCACCTTTTATATGAAAGTTTTAATACCCGGTATTGAAATTATAAAAATCTCTTAAAGTGATAGCAATATATAAAGTTGTTATAGATTATATTTGGAGAAAGAGAAAGTTTTCAACTTTATAATAGTTTGTAAAAAGTATGTACTAAATACGGGTGAAAAGAAGGGGATGCCACATGCCAGCCTTCCTTGCCTCTGTGACTATGGCCTGGGCTGTGGATACCAGCACCACTATCCAAAATATATTTTATTTGGATATTGTTTAAAATTCTTAATGTCTAAAAGTATGGCTAATTTAAAATAATTATTATGGGGAAGCGATTATTACGATATTTAAAAATCATACTCATAATTCAAAAATAATATTATTTTTGTTATATTATTTTTTGACCAACATTTAATAAACAAAAATCTTTTCTAATTAACAATCTTTAAAGTTTTTTTTTAAATTAATTTATTTATTATCTTTTCGAATTAACAATCTTGAAAGTTTTTTCTATAAAACTTCTTCATATACTAACTATATTGGGTCTTCTTCATATACTAACTATATTATATGGTTGTAATGTTTTATAACATTTGATATTTGTTTTATTTTAAAAATGACAATTACTTTTAAATGATAGAATTTTTTATGAAGTATATTCTGTTCTTTCTTTAATCAAATAGATAGACTACTCAAATAAAAAAATATATATCTAATATCTAAATTATAGGTTTTTTGGAACCGATCTCGAAAAGAAATTAAAAAGATAGAGTTTATTATACAGTTGGAATGACTATGAAAAAGATCTTTCGTTTCAATGGTAAAATATTATTGAAAATCTGTTTCAAGTGTATTTCTTCATCAAACTTTTGTTTGTTTTTTATGATAGAACATAATAGGTCAATATAAAAAATACAATGTATTATTTTTCGATTACTTTTTAATTTCTTTAGTTTTAATAATTAAACCCGTATATTTTGTATGCATTACCTACAATTGGTTCTTTAGGTAACTTAATTTTGAACATAATAAATATAAAAATAAAATCATCATAAAATTATGATTTAATTGATAAAATTATATACTTTATAGGCTATAAAGTATATGATAAGAAAAGTTTTATTTTGACTCCCTCTTACAATTGTAAGAATCCAACTTGGGTTTTGGAAAATGATATGAACCGTACAAAATGAGGGAATGAGACAATCAATACTCTAAGTCCATATTTAGTCGTTATTCATCGTAACTCTCCCGAGTTATTTTAAAAAGCTCTTCACTTGTTAAACTTGTCACTTTAAACGTTTCACTAAATCATTTGTCCAAACTCGATTTTATGCGATTTTTTTTTCTTTTTCATGAATAACAATGGTATTCAAAACCATGCATGTAAGCTTCTTCAAGACTCATTCTTGTTATCTTATTTTTTTTTTTTCTAAACCATGCATCATTTATATATAAGGTGTTGAAGCTTGCGGATTCGAACCCTAATGAAGACTTGTTCGTGTTCTCTTACTTTTTCTCTAAACTATGCATCATATAATAGTATTATATATAAACCTTGTATGTAAGTGCCTGTGTACGTAGGCATGTATGTAAAAGTGGCATATGACAGGAACTATAGAATTGTAGTCCATATGTATAATTGGGTTGGTTTTTTTTTAATTCTTACACATAAACCCAAAATATTACACTTTATTTGTTACACAACCGGTTATACGAAAATTTTACTTAATGTCAAATAAGATACGGAGTTTAATCACTAAAAAGTAATACAAAGTTCTATTTTTTACGTTGTTTTTTCTGTATTGTCACCGACGCTAATGGTCAAAAACTCAAAATCAAAATAGTATGCATCAAAATATTATTAAAATTTGAATCAAAATAATCAAATTAGTAATGTCTTCAATACGATTATTCAAAAACTCCAATTATAAAAGAAGTCACTTGAGCCTATGGGCCATCATAAGCGGTTTGTCAAATTGTTCCATCTGCTTGGAAGTTTCCGTAGCTTGTGCCTTGTGGCCAATTAAAAATCTATTTAATTATTTTCTTTTATCAAAATTATCATAAAATAGAATTTATGTGGAATGTGGTCGATAATTATTGATGAGGTATATATTAAAAACAATTACATTTATTATAATATAGAAAAAAGCTAAACCTTTTTTAATATAACTTGGTATTGCAAGTAATGTCTCTACTTTTTGAGGATGAATCAAATTTTATGACCCCAGGATGTTTTTTTATATTGATCTATTAAAACATATATTTATATTATTGACATTTTATTTCATTATAATAAAATATGCATTGTTTAAAACCAATTACGATAGTACCCTTAAAATTGGGCAAATAATAATCTTTTATTGGTGATTTTAGTTGTTGTATTTGGAATTGAGTGAAAAAGGGTTCATATTGTGATTTAATTAAGGAGGTGTGGAATGCATATTTATATAAGACGGGTTTAATCGTGAATACGATGAATAACCCTAACCCAAGAAGTCTTCGAGAGGATGAAAATCGCTAGTGTTTTCTGTGGTTTCAAGGATGAAAAACTATGGTGCTTCCTAGATACTCCCTCCGTCCCAAAATTATTGTCTACAGACAAAAAACACACATATTAAGAAAACATTAATTACCACTAACTTTATACAATAAAATGACAGTTTTGTCCTTACTTTACATTTAATGTTCCATTAAATATTTAGTTTGTTAAGTAATAATGAGGGAGTATTTTAATAAAAAAAATATTTATTTTTAGAAATTGACTATTATTTTGGAATAAACCAAAAAGGAAAGGTGAACTATAATTTTTGGAAGGGAGTATATCTTAGCTTCCATAAGATTAAAATCTTTACTATTTATAGAAACTTCTCGACTCTTATGCATTTCTGGATATTGGTATGACTGTCGTATAATTGCAAATAACTTTCAAATATTCAGTGTATGTACACATTCCATATTTTGATATTTCTACGATTCCAAACAATTCATATACGAACATGGTATTTGCTTTTATTCTTGTGCCTAAGAATTTTTGTGCTTTTACTATAAGATATCCGATGATAAATCATTTGTCGTATCTAAAACATAAAGACCAAATATATTTTAAGGAATTGATTAAACCGTATCCATACTTTTCCAAAGAATTTTGATCATCAAAACACCTTATTTAACCCTCTATTTTCCAATATTTTGTCGGAAGTTATTAAAAAGATAATTTTGTTACATGCGGTTTTGGTACATTTAATTATGCGATTATTGGCTTGAATTTGGAAAACTAAAACCATAAAAATATAAAATCAGATAAAAAAATTGGATTTTTTGTAGATACAAAAACAGAAAAAAAAAAAAAAAGTTTGTGGTCAACATCTATCTACAAACTATTAATATAAAAGAAAACATTAGATTTTGGCTTTCGTGTACCAAATTATTAAAGCTCACAAAAAGAAAACACCAAAAATCAAAGCCGGTTATGAGCAGCATCTAGAAGTTTTATGCCTTGATAAAATAAAATAAAAAAGTCATATTGATTTTTTTTAGTAAATAACCAAAAAGCTAAATATGACTAGTATTAAAAATTTAAGATGCCTTAAGTCCTTTACATCCATTTTGAATGGAACAAAGAAGATGCTGATGGAAAACTTGGGTACAACATCAGACCTTACATTAGAGGTAGACTGTACAGAAAGTAGAATATATAGGACAAAACTCATAACTGTACGTATGTACTCACCCACCAAACAAGGAAAGCCTCAAAAGATGTACAAGGGTAAAATCGGTACAAAAAAAAACCTGTACATTAGAGCCAAGACGCCCACCCAGGAAACATTTGGCATAGGCGATCAGGATCGATTGCATCCTGTATCAGTTGTTGAACCTGCCAAACCAAAAGAATTAATAAAAAAGGTTGAAATGCATAAAACCACAACATACTTTCCCCATTTTATCGATTTAGCCACCCCACCCAACTATTTTTTTTATGATTATTATCATAATAGTTTAGTGGCTAAATCACCAACTTAATGCAGAAAGAAGGCCAGAGAATGGCATTAAGTCCTTAACATTTTTTACAAATTTGCCCTCATTTCTTTTTAAGTGTGTCAAATAACTTTTAAACATGATTCATCCATCAGACCAGACCACACTTGATGAGAATGAGATAAAATTTACCTGTCCATGCACACTTCTCATTTCACCCTCTTCATATCCATCAAGTTTCTGCTTAACACGCAAAAGAGCACGTGCTGCATCTTTATTTCCTTCATATCCTTCTTCAGACTCCTCCAAGCTTGCCTCCAGATCATCATCAGTTTCCTATCCCCCCCAAAAAAACACATCACACATCAGGCAATTACACTTCATAGCAAATTCAATATATATATATATATATATATATATATATATATATATATATATATATATATATATATAGGGTTTCATTCCTTAATTACCTTTTGGCGCTCCAAAGCTTTTAGGGGTGATAGGGCCCACTTGTATAAAGGATCATGGATAAAAACCTGCACAGTGAATTTTAGAACATATTAATATATGAATAGAATAACCTTTTTATTTTAAATGGTGTTAAGGATTAAAAAAAAAAAACATACTTCAATGATGGTGAGCAAAGCTTCTTTATTTGTGCGCATGACTGAAAGATTTTCTTCACAACACCTTCTGAAAACACCTTCCACTCCAGTTACTCCCATACCATCTATGATGTCTCTTGTGAGCCTGAAGGGAACCCGTTCAGGTGTTTTTAGCATCAATCCTTGCTCAAATGCAACACCCAGATCAATGTGTACAACTTCTGCAGTTGCTTGGTCAATTAGGATGTTCATGGAATGTCGATCTCCAAGACCCACAATGTAACCAACCTATATACATAATTTAACTGTTATTCATCTCATCATGCTCCTAGAGGAAGCACATTACAACACTAAGATAGTGTTTGGTATTATAGGAATCAGGGAAGAAATGGAATAATACACTACACTACCATTGAACTAGCTGCCACACTTCTTGTATAAGCAAGTCGTTTTTCAAACCAGTCAGCTGGATGTAAAAACCTCTCTAGAAAAAAGTGATGCATCACTGGTCTGCACCAAATAACAAAATAAAAACCAAAACTTCAATAAACACATATAAACAACATACTATATATTACTATTTAGGAAGTTACCAACCTGAAATTGTCGCAGACTTCCTGGAATGCCTTGCGCTTGTTATTTTCCTATGAATCACAATCACATGATACAAGTTCATTCTTTTTGTAATGTTTTATATTTTACTGAAACTGAATAATATGAATCATGAATCAACTTACTGTAGCCATGTGTTGCCTGCATTTGGGAAATGACCAATCTCCTGTTCCATAACGCCCATGGGCACCTCCACTTCTTGTACTGAAAACTCCACAACTCTGATTTATCAGTATATTTTATTGTTGACCTGAGGATTGACTGCATGATTATGAAGCACATAATTTTTACTGACCTTCCTGTAAGATATTCACCTAAAGGTAAAGTGCCATTTACCCACTCGAGAACACCAGCACTCGGAGTAAAAGGAACCACCTGTTTCATCAAACATTGGTATGTATAAATTTACACTTTTCACCCCTCAACATGAGCATCTAAAACAAAAATAAACTTCATAAGTACCTTATATGTCCGTATCCCTAATCTTCTTTTCCACGTATCACGGTGGTTCTGTAAGAAAGTATTCACCAATGCAAAGAACTGTTCCATTACCTGCAGTATTTTCATTACAAGTTACTCATATATTATTCATCAGAATTTAACTTATATAAAGTTAAACTTGATAAGTTTTATACATACAGCATCTTGTCTGAGGTCATCGTTTCCTGATTTCGCAAGCTGTCGATATCTTTTACCATCCGAACCAAGGCACTCGACAACTTTTGGAGCATTTATTCCATTCATGATCCTGTGTAGATTAGCAATAGGAAGTGCAAGTTAGCAGCATGTTGTGCTGACAAGAATACAAAAACAAGATGATGACACGGTTCTCAATTTGTAGACATACGTGACTGAATCTGCTAAGCCTTTGAAATGTGGGAATGACCCTTCCTCATACTGACAACTAGGGTCAACCGGAAAAGATGATGTCACCACAGGTACCTGCATATTTAACCAAAACACAAGGGACGTTCATCATAAGCCAAAATTATGGTGCCAAAAGGATCAAGAATGGTTTACTCACGAGTTCAAGTTGCTTAACACTGCGAATTTCTCTTGGTAGAGCCATCCTTTTATTGGTATCCTGTTAACATGAATAATCTATTTCAACATGATTCAAAAAAAAAAAATCCCACAAATGAGCCAGATGAGATTTATGGATTACCTCTCGTTTTGTTTCCAGTTCAGCAAGCCGGATATAAATTTCTACCATCTGTTTCATCTATATAATATACACAAGACATCATGAAAAGTTCCTGTAAATAGTTTATATAATATAATATTGGAAATTTGAATTACATACTTGTCTAATCACAGCTCCATGGTGCGAGGATAGCTCTTTTAAGAGCGTTTCTGCAGCGTACTTTTTATCCATATCCACCACAAATGAGCTTCTACTTCGTTGCTTATCCTTGACACGATCACCATTGGCCAGTGCCAAAAGCTAGAAATTAAAACTTATTAAATTATGAGGTATACTTTTTAAAACAAGATGTTATACACTAGACTAGACACTTGTATTCATTTGAAGAACAAAGCAAAGTACCTGAAAGATTGTGTGGTATGGATGGTCGATTGCCATTTTCTTTAATAGAGAAACCAAAGCGAACTGCATACAGCAGAAGTAAAAAATGAACTACGAGAAAATTAAACATGAAACGAAAAAGGATTGCAGTAAAGGCATGAGGATTTAACCTGGAAAGTATTAGGTCCCTGACTATCTTTTGAGCTACCCAGTCTTGAAGCAATTTGGTATACTAAGGGTATAAACTTGCAAGACTGCACCTGAAAATAAAAGTGACAAGTTTCAGTTATAAATCCTAGTTCTTTTCCCTCGTTGATAATAGCAACTAACTTTAATCATCCTTCCTGTACCTCTTTGATTGTACTGAGCATTCCATCTACAACAATTTGTCTTGTGGATAAACCAAACCACAGAGATACAAGTCGAAACACCTGAGAGACAATTACAACATTTTTTACCAAGTCAATCTTTGACTCGTTTGTTTGGAATAAGCAATTGAAATTGGATTTACAACTTTATCACATCATATTTGACCATGAAAGAAGTCAAAAACTACATTTGGATAAGATCATACCACTCGAACGTCATATTTGTCAGCTATGACTAGACATCGCTTATATCCTTCCAATGCTATGCTGAGGAAATTATCTCTATCTTGCTGAAACATTAAGGTAATACAGTTAAGATGACATGATATGTTGTACTTTTTGAAGACTGATTGGTTTTCTACCTGCAACTTTTCAGCCTCCTCTTTGTCCATTGTAAGTTGTTTTTGCAACTCTTGTATTTTTACTGAATAATCTGTTTTATCACCCTATACACATGAAAAGAAAATGATAAATCTTCTGAAATAATGTTTGAGCATGGAATGGATGACAAAGAAAAGTTTTGAAAACATTGGCTTGCCTTGGATGAATTCTTGAATCGCCTATAAAGTGCATCCAACTCTTTTGTCTACAAAATTGACTTCTGGTTATGACATTTCCAAACAAAACTTCATTTTATTAAAAACTTAGAAGAACTGAAATCTGTATAAATAAACAACCTTATGTTTTCTCAAGCGCATTGCTGCTTGCCACTCATTAGAGGTGAGTCTTTCCTCATAGCTACGGAAAAGAGCATCCGCATAATGAGCAAGCTGGAAATGTGTTTGGCCTTGTCTTGCAACTGACTTCTTGTCTGTTGACTGGTGTTTGTCAGCAAGGTTGACTGCATTTTTCAGATACTTCTCCAAGATAGTCCTAGAGCTAAAGGGCAGAATGGTAAAGTTACCTTCATTGTCTTGCAATGTTTAAGAAGACAAATTGAGAATATGGTTAACAGGTATATTTTATAACTAACTTGCTAGAACGTGTTTCAGCCAGCCATTTTCCAACTAGACGATATACATCTGCTGCCGCCTCATTCATTTTGCGATTTTCAGAGATGTACTTTGCAAGATTAATTGCCATCTCATGCTGACCTTGGGCTCGCAGAAGCTTTGCTTCTTCAACCTAGTACAAATAAAAAATTATATATTAAAGAAGGAAAAATAAAATGGTCAGTAATGAATAATGATGTTATAGAAACACATACCCTTCCAAGCCAATAGAGTTTAGAATCTTCTCCTCCCATACCAATGTAGAGGGACTTAAACTCATGCAATGCCGCAGCAGATTGAGAAAATCTAGAGCCCTACAAAATGGAGATCATTGTTATTTGCAGAAATAATTAGTTTCTTATTTATAAAATGATTATAGTTTAATGACATACCTTACGAAGAATAGATGCAGATTCCAAAAGATGTTGGACAGTACAGTCCTTACAGCTTAAAATTTGAAGCATAACTCTTCTGAATGCCATGAACGGTTCTAACAGGTTCATATGTAACTGTGCACGATTCAGAATGCAGCTCCATTCCGTATTCAACCATGACAACTGCATAAAACACTTTAGCAATTGGCAACTAATACTAATAAGAACAAGTAAACATATGAGCAATTTGCAACTAGTACCTGGTCCATGTTGGGAATCAAAGGTCCAGATAATAATCTTTGTGCCTCGCTGTCATTATCTTTCTTCCCATCCAACCATGCCCATCGCAAATCCCAGGCCAGTCCAAGATGACAGAAAATCTGACAAAAAATCATAAAAACATTACTCTCTAAATTAAATCATGTGAGAGTGTTACTTTTTACCATAATGAAAACCTCCAGACTTTATCCAAATATGAAGACAAAGTTAAGCATTGTGAATTGCGCACCTGGAGCTTCACAATAGTGGAATAAATATATTCTGTGCTCTCCTCACTTGCATGATAGATAGAGAACAGAAGCTCCTGATAATGAAATAATCAACTTGTAAGTTAAAATTTCAGAAGGCCTTACTTCTTCCAACTATAACACTAATCCATCTGTACCTGCTTAGATTCTTTGAGGTTCAGGTTAAATTCGCTCACATCTCCCTCGTGGAAAGCCCTCAAACAGCTAGCAACATAGTAATGATTTGATTTTGTGTTAAAATAAAGAGGTACCAGTTATAACAAAAGAAAAAATCATATTGAATTACCTGTGTAGCCTTTGGTTGAAACGGCTATGTCTGATCCGTTGACTTGGCTTAGGAGAACTAGTGTCCATGGACAGTACAGAGAAATCCCAATTTCCTGCACGCCAAGCAGCTTCAAACTACAAAACAGTGAAAATCAAGCATCACTACAAAAAAAAAAAAAAAAAAAAAAAAAGAAGAGAAAATTACACAAAGAAGATCACATGTTCTATAAAGCTGGACAAACCTGTAGCTCATTGAACTCTAAGTCATCCTGAAAGTGGCCTTTTTTGTACATTAGCCCTTGGCAATACATATCCAACATATGAGTGCAACCAATTTGTTGTAAAGATTTGATCAGCCCTTTGTGTGGTTTTCTTTGTTTCATTTCATCTTCTGGTTTGGAGGAAGATGAAGATAAGGATGGATCACAGGAACTATTATTACCCATCTCAATCGATGCCTCAGATCGTACTTGTAGGTCGTAGTACTCAAGAGCTTTACTCCAGTTACCCTCATGCTCAAAGGTGATTATTTGTGATGTCAGCTGCAGGTTATTAAAAATATAATTTGATACAATGTAGAAAATAAAAATGCATAAAAATTGAGATAAAGGTGACATGAGTGACAATGTGCCATATTGTAGCATTTACCTTGTGAGACTGGATGATCCCATACAAACTGTCTGGTTCATTTATTTGGGTAACTGCTGCAACTAGAATTTCTATGTGGTGTGGTAGCTGACAACAATAAAGAAATGATCACTAATAAATAATAATGTGGTAACCACAATGATTTATCAGACATTACTCTGATAGTAACTAAAAGAACGTAGAGTACCATTTCTAGATGGGAAAAATCTGGACTTCCTAACGTGAGGCAGCTAAAATGCTCTTGACACCAGTGCTCCACATACAACACAGCAGTGAAATATGAGCCACAGCCCTGTCAATTAATTAGGAAAGCAAGTCAGAGAGTAGTAATAGCAGACAAGCCTTGCATCAGTTATCTTTCATAAGTTGTAGACATAAACATCATAGTGAAATTAACTCACAATGGCTGACTTAGCAACAACAAGGTAGTCAATGGGAAGCCAATAAACCTGAGAAACATAATGAAATAATAGTAAATTATTGGATGGAGCATGGATATCATACTGGCTTTAATTAATGTTCATTTATGAATTATGATTAGCAATTAAGAATGCATAGAAGATCTAGACCTTTTCCCAACATAATGTAGAAGTGAGTGGTTGAGTAGATGTTGCAGTATGGTCTGTTGCCTTACGTGGTGTAGAACGAGATCTTGAGCTATAACTAGATGACTTCGCATGCTGCAGAACCAACTCTTAGTATTCATCTCGGAAGTAATTAAATAACAATTTCATTTTAGAAAATTATGTTTTTAATGCAAACAAGCAACCAATATGGTAACAAAAGAAATACTGAATATATTGTTGGTTGCATCTGTATTTACCTTTGAGCCTTCGGTTTTAGAAGGAACAGAAGTAGCTCTCTCCATTACATGACAGAGTCGAAGTTCATTGAGTGCATCCAAAATAACCTGAACTGATCTGATTAAGCTATTGGATTCAACAACTATCTCTTCCACCACCTGAATGCAAATTAAATGTACCAAAATCACCTTGTTAAGATCACATCACTAAACATATTTTTAAATGACTTATATGGTCAATATAACAGATAAGCACAGAAATTTAACAAGATAAACCTTCACGGAGATCAGCTTGCAAAGATCAATGTCTAAATTCTTCCTCTTTGCAAGATTGACCATAACATTTGACAAAAGAAGCTCCGCAACTTCAGCTTTCAGCAGCACAATATCCTGGCATAACCTATTTCGCAAATCCATGGTTACTTCAAAGAGAAAAAATATATATATTATTTTTATTAATAATAAAAGAGAGTGGGACCCACTTAAGTAGTGCCATCACCACCCCCTCCTTTGCATGCACATACACCCCTACAAACAGGTAAAATAATACCTACAAAGAAAGAAGGAATGCTACCTTAAGATAGTATCATCACAAAAATAAATGAGTGCATAAACTAGCTGAGAGATCCATGTCTCAAATGTTTTTCCACGAGTCTCCCATGTAGAAGTCTTCTCAATTGTAAAGGCTTGACCTGATAATAGTATTAAATAGGTGACAACATGACCAAACTTAAGAACAACTTTAACAGATGAGAAAAACACATATTTTCTTCAAGTGATTAGAGTTCTTATTAAATGGAATGGCTTTACCACTGAACTTCCTTTCTAGATCCATTAAGGAACTCTGAACTAGCTCCACATTAACACCCTTGGAATGAACCTACATGTAAAGAAGCATTAGACATTGAAAACACCTTTCCAAATGATCAGAATGACACAAGCATGAACAAAAGAAAAGACCCATCAACCATATACTGACGCAACCAGTAGCAACTTTAGATCACTTTTCAATGAAGTAGACATTTGTAACGAGTCAATATGAATTAAAAAGAAGCATTCATGTAACTAATTATATAGAAATAGAATTTGAATTATAGCAATAAATAATGGATTACAAGAGCTTCTGTGTCAAGACATCCCAATCGAGATCATATAACGAATATACACAGGTTACTAACACCCAAATAAGACTTCTAACTCACAGAAAGATATAGTGAAATGAAAAATGTTTGTTGTTACCTCGAGTATAGACCTCTCATAAGAATCAAGTGATAGTAAAGCTCGGTGACCCCTTTCAGTTGAAAGTATCCCCTGTTCGAAGGCAGGATATGTTAATGAATTTATAAAAGATAAAAATAAACTAAATGCTTTTAATAGCTGACTTACACGTAATGCTTGTGATGCCATCTCAATTATCTCGACAGATTCATCCATCAAATACTTCTTCAAAAGCTGCATCACTGCAATTAAGAGCTCTTCAGATAAACCTGAATCCATATGAAAACTGAAGCCACTACCACCATCCGAATAAAGAGGCTTGCAAATGTGTATCCGGTTTGACTCTCCAGGAAGATGGAAAACAACACGATGTGGATCCCCAATACCAATCTGAAACCAGAATCACCACATACATGAAACAACTCTCTATCAGTTGGTGTTCTCTCAATGGTGAGTAAAGAAAATAGAAGGAAGTTAAAACTGATACCATTGATAAAAAATCAGAACAAATGCTCCAAAACTGTTTGATGCATCTGAACTGGCCATTCGAACTAGAGTCCAAACCGCACGTACAATTTCATCATCATATTGCCAAAATGCATCTCCAAAAAACTGTTCTGCATTCTTTTGACGCTCAAACCCCGTGAACATGATACTGTGCAAAGCTTTGAGACTGCAAGAAAAATGTCATACATTGATTTGACCTGAGCAACAGATATAAATTCTCACAGATTTCTATAGAAGTTTATAATCAAATAAAGAAAAATCACCTGCATATAACCAGCCGTGGTGGAAGATGACTAGATCTTCCCACAAACTGAAACAAAAAAAAAAAAAAAAAAAAAACATTAAGGCAGGCAAAAGTTTTAGGAATGAAAAGATAGCCAACAACAGAATTTTACTATTATTAAAAAACAAAAAACTAATATATCCACACATTCTCAAGGAAATGAAATTTTACCTCTAATAAGTGGTCTCTTGCAGAGTAATCTTGGCACACTTCGCGATGAAACTTGCGTAGTCTATCAAATATATCAAATTCAGGAAAGGGCCCAAGTTCCTGAAATAGCACACTTTCCAAATGTAATTCAAAGCCTTCTAAGCAGCAATGAAATTTATCTAATAAGTCAAAACTGAAAAAACGTACTTTGATATGCTTATGAAGAGACGGATCAGAATCCACAACAAGCTCATGAAGCAGTGATAAAGCCTCAGATGGATGAGTGAGGGAATGTTTAATATCAAATTTTGAGGGTATACAAGAATCAACTAGCTTTGATACCAGAAACTGCAACAAAGAACAGTCGAATTCAGAAAATGTCAAAATGATGGCATATAATAATAACCAATAAAGAAGATAATGTAGGAAAAATAGAGATAAACCTGAAGTTGTTCACCAAGCACATCAATACCATATTTAGATTGGTTGTCTTTAAGGGTTTTGAGCAATGCAGAGATAATCTGACAACATTGGTCTTGTAAAGGACCATAATCAATGAATTGCCCCACTAAGGTGAAAAGATAACTACAGAATCATAATGGAAATTTTAGTGAGTAGAACACATTTGGAGTACATGGGACAAGTTGATCTGAACTCACTTGGAAGTGCTTGGTACTGCAGCTCTATGTCCAAGAACATTAACAAGCACCTCAATACCAGACAACCTGTTACATCTGTGCCTATGGTGAATAGACGCTGTAACTTTATGATGCATTTCAAGTATGAACTGCACAATACAAAAGCCAATGTCCATAAGGTGCAAGAAAAGATAATGAGATCATGAAAATATATAATCACCATAAAAACTCTATCGGGGCGAAAAATGTTGATTTTGTCCACTACAACCATGCTGCAAGGAGCTTCTTCCCTACAAAATACAATAGCATAACGGTTAGGCAGTATAATTTGATACTTGGAAGAATACACATTTGACAATGTTACAAGAAGGCATGTACATGTTCAAGAAACCATCGACCACTGTTTGAATAGCACGTTGAATTGTATCCTTGGTAAAGAAAGGCAATGCAGGTTCTGATAACCGGGAAGCAAGTGATAAAATGTAACTGACAATAGAAACCTGCAATTAGATAACACCAAGTGTTACAATCGAGTAAACCCACTTACAAATTACTCCTTTATGTATAACTAAGCTTGTGTATTAGAGGTAGAATAGCAAACCATGTGTTTCTTAATAAGGGTGTCCCGCTCCTTCTCAGATAACCCAGAGATACTTAATATTGAACTCTGAAGTGCTGCTGTTCCAGATTCCCACCCAGACCTTTTGCTGCAATGTAATGCTATACAAACTGAAAAGATATGTACAAAGTGACTCTTAATAAGTGCTGCAGAAGATTGACCGGAAACCTGCATGCAGAAATGATGTCAGCTGAAACAAAATAAGGCCAATCATTCAACCATCAAAATTATTTAAAAAAAAAAAAAAACAAAAAACAAATAATATGAGGTTTCAAGCATATTAAAAGATCCCACCTTGGCAACCCAGTTCAAGTTGGAAACATCGTTATGCAAAACCAAAGCTGGAAGAAGCCAACGGCAACAATATTGAATGAAATTACTAGCTTCCACATTGAGAACAAAAAGTTCACGTGTCTGCAAATACCAAATGAGATGAAATGTACATCCAATAATGTCTTCCATTAAATAGTTATGTTAATATTACCTCAACTAATGCAGCCAAGCTTACACCACACTGGACCCAGAAGAAAATAATTGGTGCAATAAGCTCTCCAATGTACTGCAAAACAGCTAAATTCAATCACCTTGATGTATAATAACCTCATAAAACAGCTACTTCCAGTTATTCACAAAAAAACAAGTCTAGATAGCTCAGTTTTGTCCCTCAATGACACAATCAATATCAATCTGTATTATAAGCTAGTGAGATAAGGATTAAAGATAAACTGAAAAAAAAAAAAAAAAAAAAAAAAAAAAAAAAAAAAACCTCTGATCTGGAGTTGTATTGTAGTTTTTTAGAAAGGTTGTCAAGTACAGCAGCAACCAGCTCCCTGCAGTAAAATGATTGCAGTAAGTATATAGGCTTTGGTTGGTCAGCAAATAAGTACAAGAATAGTACCTCTGGGAGGAATCAATAGCAGCAATAACACAGATCATAAAAACAGCCTGCATGAAATTAAAAAGGTCAACAGAAGCATACAGATCCCCACCAAAGAAAAATCAGTCCAAAAACTTGATGACTATTACAGAATACACATCTTCTACATAAATTTGCCTCACTAAAAATTAAATCAGTCAGATAAGAAAAAAGAACACATGGTGAATATTTTTCACAAGAAAAGATGTTCAATAAAATTTAAAAGGATTTAAATACCTCCAACTCAATTTTCTCACTGTGCAGGGCAAGATGGACAAGGGTTACAATGATGGTTTCCATGATAGGGCGTGGTTGATGACCAGCAGCTAAAACCTCATTGGCTTTAACGAGCTTATCCTTAAATAACACCACCAATTTTATACTAAAATTTGACCTGGAAAATGGAGAAACATAATCAGGAATTTAATCTCTTCCGTACTTGATATTAGACATCGGTAGCTACAACGGTGTATATGAGGTGAGGTCATTCTCAGTATCAAAAAAATTAAGGACAGAAAACTACAAGAAGGTTTCTTCATCCAAGAACCTGGCTGATATCAAGACTCTTTTTGCTGGTTAAATCTTTTTTTTCTAAGTGCAAGCTTGATCCTAACACTATGTAGAAATTTGCTAGTGAATAATATATTGAAAAAGTATGCTATGCTTTAAAACATACAGTATATCCTGGAAGAGCTCATCATGGCCATCCCACGTTTGGAAAAGAACACCAATTCTTCTTGCTAGGGAAAATCGAACACGGAAATCAGGATCTCGGAGCATAAGTAACAGCTTCTCAACCATGCCCTATTATAAATATACACAGCAGAAACCATGTCACACAAATAGATGATCAGAATGATACTGATGGCAATGGACTAAAGGTACTAAAAAGAAAGAAAAATTTTTATATATATCACAGAAAGTGAAGCATAAGCACCTGACCAATTTGAGGACTAAGTAATACAAAGTTGCATATGCAATCAATGAGTTTCACGCGGCCTAACCAATCAAATTGGTCATTCTCTGCAATTTTGATAACAAGATCACCCAGTGGTACCAAACTCTGAGAGTCGTCCTCTAGAATTAGCTCCATGGAAGTTTGTGATGCCACCTGTAAAACATTAACAAAGTTATTAATTGTTTAGTCTGTTTCAATGTAAACTTCAGTGTCATACATCAGATGCAACCAACCTGTTCAGATAATCCTGATTTGATAGAATGACCGAGATTCTTTTCCTTTGTAACTTTGTTTGACATCAACGTCTGTAACAGGCCACATATAGCGGTCAGTATCTTAGTTGGCTGAAGCTTAACATCAGAAAGCCTATCAACCATGTTGTCCAGTGATAAAACCTGCAAAACCACATATCAATGAAAAAAATTAGACAAAAATATATCTATTGTCACTAGATATTTACAGGAGAGTACCATGTCAGAAAACCCTTGACAAGAGGACCAGCAAGGATGTTCACAAAGGTTAAGCATAAGGCATTCCATCAGCTGGATCAATATCAAGGTCAATATTAGATTAATATTACTATTATTATGTTTAAAAAAATAAAGAGAATATTTACCCTTTGATCACTTTCTGTTTGCCTCAAATTGAACAAAACATCCCATGTGTCAACTGGAAGAACCGAAAAAAAGCTTGAGATTAATGATATAATTTCCAGCTTCCATTTAACAGTAGGAGACACTCGAGAATTCTCTCCACCACTACTCATAATATCAACATCTTCTAAATCATCAATTTCATCAAGCTCTGCATCCAAGACAGTCATATTATTGTGATTTGGCCAATCTGATTGATCTATCTCAGACTGAGGATTACGTGTGCCATCAGAAACTTCTTCATATAGTTTAGTCAGAGCCTTCAAAAGTCTTTTGGTTGACCAGATAATATCATTATAAAACGTACAATCACCACCACCATCTTGATAGCTAAAGAGGGGGGAACCAATAAAACATTTTAAAGAAGTTTGAATGGAGTCCATGCCCTCAAGACCAGCATTTAAGCCATGACTACCACACTGAATATCACTGGAACGTTTTTCAATCACTGAAACAGCATGACTCAGCATTTCTAACATGTACTGACCAACTTCGGAGAAGAAAGAAACGTTTTCTTCTTTCAACCTAATGCAACAAAATGATTTGCTAAAATTTCCTTTTATATTTTAAATAAAAATCACCAAGTCTGAAAAATAAAAATACCTTGTAACATATGAACCATACAGGAAATTTGACAAAAGAGCACATCTGAAGAAAATATCTGAGAGAATCATTTTCTCAATCTCTTTGTTTTCCAAAACCTCAAGAATTCCGAGCTCCGTTTCATGAAGCAGTGACTCCCTTAAATGACGGGGGAGACGCACCTTCTGGTGGCTTGGAGACTGGGCTACCTGAAAAACAATAAAATGAGATAAATATTTCTCCAATCCCACCAAAATAAATTCATTTTTTTTTGTAGAAAAAGAGTGCAAGTGCAACCTCTGAATGAGAATCGAGAAAAACTTCAGCAAGCACTTCCATAAAGCAATCGAACAAATCATGTGAATTTTCCTGCTCTAGTTTTTCAACCTACATGAGATTTGAATATTCAACTTTTTTGCAGCTGGAAGTAGTGAAAGATAGGAAAACAATATTCATTATACCTCAATGCTGTCATCAATGGTTACAGGGATATCTACAAGAAGATGAGCCAAAGAACATCCTTTATCACAATTTGTAAAGCAAGAAGAACCAGCACAAAGAGAGAATACAGCTGCGGGCAACAGTACGACTGTATGCTCATTGAACACCATATGTCCCTAAATAAGATGGTACCAGTAAATTAATCTTCACACAGCATTTTAAGAGCCCTAATATTTTCTTTTATGTATCAACCATAGAAATGTAAGAATTGTCAAACAAACCTTCCAGTTAAGTAAGCCCATAACCGTCCTTAAGAGATCTTTTCTCAGATGTAAAACGTCCTGCATGTCACCCTACACAAAAGCAAAAAAGGTAAGAGTAATGGTAGAAAAAATGTTATCAAGCTATTTGAGGTGATAGTAACTGTCTTTGTAATGAGGGTATATAATATATGATATATTTAATATATCTCAAAAAAAACCAACTTACATGGGATCCTTTCTTTGAAAAATAACCCGATATGAAGCGTAAAAGAGACCTGATCATCATTATAACAACACATTTATGAGAACATGATAATGATAAAGAAACATGGTGATTCACAAAGGTATCAAAATTCATGGTTAACCCTACACTGATGGAGAATTTTTAAACAACCGAAGATCCCATACATCATGAGCTACAATAAAGTTGTTCATTGGATCCTGAAAGCAAAATGCAAAACAGAAAGAGTCCAAAATTAAACCAAATAATCCCCCCTAGGTTGATAAATATCAATAAAGTTTATTAGAACGGCATGCTTACACTCAAATTAATATTTCCAAGGAGTATAAGAGCAGCATCTGCCTGAATAAACCATAGAGAAAGGTATATGTTACGTGAGCTTCATGTTTGTAGGTAGGTGTGGTAATCACATGAATTACTTACAACTGATGTAACATTGTTGAACATTGGTAAACCACGCAGTAGAGTGTTCCATATTGTATGCCAGCCTCTATACAACTACAATTTTTACAAAACTAAGTTTATGGTTAATGACTGTAACTCTGGAAGAGTAAGAAAAACACTTCAACATGATTTCAATCTAAGGTTCTCCAAATTCTAGAAAGATGTCATAGCTTGCAAGGGGCGTCCCTAAAAATATTGTCAATATGCATGCATTAAACAACTTCCAGCTGTCCACATTACTAGTCGGCTATAACTTTACAGACATCCAAATGAAAAGAAATAGCACGACACCTGATTACTGGTAAATTCCACTTTTGCTGAGCACTCCACTCCATAAATAGGACGTAGAAGTACTGATGAGAGTCCTTGAAGACTCCTACAAATGCCCGTAGACAAATGTAAGAGTTCATATAACAAGAATGTAGGGAATCAAGATAAATTTAGTAGATTGGTGACTGACATTTCAATCATCTAAAAGCAACCACATGAAATTTGACAGCATACCGTAGAGTCCACAGAAGACCATCATAAGCATGCTCCATGGTTGCTTTGTTCATTATTCTGCAATAAATTATAAACCCACAAAGTTTGTGTGTGTTTAGATAAAGATAATACAACAAATAGAGCATAAAACAAATTCAGAAGATTTACCTCTCAAAGTTTGTGGATAATCCTTCAAACCAGTAGATGAAATGATCATGCTTAATGCGACTAGAGTAGTTGCGAATAAGGAAGCAAAATGCTGCATTCCTGTCATAGAAGCATTAACCCTCAAACCAAATAATAACTTATAACAGAAACATAAGCCAATAACATAGAATAAAACAATCAACATTTATATTTCTTATATAGTATGTCATTGTGCAATTTTTCAGAACTTACCAAGACCACTTCCCTTTGATGATTTGTTCGCTTAAATAGACAACAGTATTCTCCCTTTTAGCTCGTTTATCAGCTACAGGCGCTTTAAATGAAATAAGGCATGCCTGGAAAAAATTTCATCACTTGTAACTTTTATTGAACCTTAAACATGTCTAAAACTTGCAATTAGATTGTACATCACTAACCCGACAAAAGACAATAGCTGCAAGATCCATCAAACTGGATTGTGAGTTTGTTAATGTACCTCGCTTATCATCCCTTGTTGTATCATTCCTATAAATTGCATTACCATGAATAAATTAAAGTTTCAGTAAAGATGATGGTGACAGTGAAGTACTTAAAACTAAGAAACAAAACCTACCATGGCAGACTGGTAGTGGGGGTACTAATTTGATCTAGTTCCTTTCCTATTATATCCAAAAGTTGTTCCAATAAAACACTGCCATCAGTAGTTCCTCTTGCTAACTTTAATTGTAACCTTGCGTATAAAACAAGTGCATCCTTCAGACCACGATCATGAGTCGTTACCCAAACACGAAATAGAAACTGATGCACAGCATCATGAATTTCTAAAGATCGACTGCCCATATTTGGACCATCCCTAATCAAATATGTATTAATACACTCAACCAATTTGCGCAAAATCTTCCCCTCATCCCTGAAAATAACACAATAATATGAATATGATGTTGAGAAGAGAATGGCAATCTCAAAAGCTCTGATTATCTGTGCTATTACCTTAAATTAGAGAAAATCTCAATAAAACCTTTTGTTATTCCCACACGAAGATCATCAGGAAAATCTCCAGGAGGACTATCAAGAAGTGAATGAAGTGTGAGGATGCACCGAAAGACCTCCTCCTTAATAATTGATTGTCCGGTACTGCGTTCACTCAAGCTTATCTCAACCTTTTCCATGTACAGAAGCACCAGACCTTGTCAAATCATTATGAGAATAATGAGATGAATTCAAAGCAAAAAATTATTTCCAAAAAAGAATATGATACATCTTGAAAAGGTACTCACTAGAGTATACATTCTTTCTCAAGTGAAACTGAAGATGTTTAACTGCCAAAAGATGTCGTAGAATAATTCCATATTCGGACTGGAAGCTTGGAACATCGTTTAAAATCTTCCATATATGATTGAAAAGTGATTTTGCCACAGGGAGAAGATGTAAACTCTTTCCTGTCCATAGATCACATAGAAGAATGTCTTCTAATAAGCTTAATTTGGGGAAAAGATCCAATACTAGTGCTATAATAGTGACACTACGCCAGGCTAAACAATGGAATACACATATGTAGCATAACAGCCGTTTTCTAATGAAATTGACACAAAAACATACCATCTTCAGCTCGTTGTACCACAATTCTAAGAGTCTTTGCAAATGCCAACTTGGGCAGCCGCTTCTTACTTGCAGACACCTCCAACTTTATAGCTTCAGTGAGCAATTTAACAAGAAAAGGCCAAGTTTTAGCTGCAACAACAAAATCAACCTCAGTTCACCTTGTAATGTTTAAGAAGCATGCAATATAACAGACATATGTTATGCGTGTGCTGAGCTAATACATATCCAACATTAGATGGAATCAAAATTCTGTTTGAACCATTTCAGAGTTTCGAAAATCCAAGAGCAGATGATGTTCTGCTGTTGCCTGAGCTCTTGTTGGACCTATAACTTTCATTGATAAAATTCAATCCATCCAATTTGTACCTGGACATTATCAGTATGCAATGCTGGGGATGGATCAGAATGATCCTAATAACTAGGGTTTTATTAACGTATTTTGCAAGTTATCAAATGATTTCACGATGCATAAATCGTCTTACCGTGTGGTACCTCATGAGGTTTGAGCATGGATGTATTGCGTCCCATATATTTACAGAACTCAATCAACCTTTCTCCTTCTAGCCATGTATTCAACAACTTAATCCCTTCCTGAAACAATAAAAACAAAAATCACAACAAATTAAATATACATTTACACAACATAAACAGAGATCGAACTCAATTCACTTTATGTGCGTGTTAAATCGTCGAATGGATTTAGTAAGCATTGAGTTCGTTTAATTTTGCCTCACAAAAAAAAATAGTGATTAAACAAATAATCGATATGAATATTACTTCACGGGCTTTGGCCTTATCAGATGAGAGTTTCAAAACGATTTCATGGACATCTGCAGATTTGACCATCGCATAATACCAGAAGAACACAAACAGTCCAGAAATGATTCGAATGCGAACACTAATGATTTAGGGTGAGAAGATGACAGATAGCTAGGGTTTTACTGTGTCAGTTGGGTTGTTTCAAGAGGGTTTAACTTGTAAGTGGCGGGAGAGAAGAGAATGTCTAAAGAGAGTTTTGGGGACAAACGAGGTCAAAAGGGCGTAACGTAGTGCGTTGATCGGGTAATTTTTTCGGGTTTCGAGTAATTTGGGTCGGGTAATTTGGGTTTTTCATGTTAAAAAAAATACTCGTTATCCGACCCAAATTAAATTCGGGTAATTCGGGTTTGAGTAATTCGGGTATCGGGTCGGGTTTGGGTAATTTGGGTATTACCCGAAATATATAATTTTTTTTTTCAATTTCACTTAGAAAATAAATTTAATGAAATAAATACATCGTGTTTTATTAGTCTTGTTTATATAAACAAACGAAGCATAAACGAAGTTACTCAAGCTTTGAACATTGAGATTTTTTAGTCAATAATACCTGAGATATCAAGTAATTTTTTAACAACTTAATCTAATCTAATAAGATGTTAAAAAAACAAATACTTAAAGATCTTAATTTAAAAGTTTAAAATGTTTAAGATAATTGTAGCCATAAGTTTTGTCATGTTCTGAAGTTTCGTCGAGAAAATGAGTTTGTTAGTTGCAATAAAAACTATAATCTAGAAAACAGTTAATTTTTAAAGAACAAGATGATATATAAACAATTACTTTTAATATTGTTAGTGTCATATTGTCATAATAAAAGAAATTCATGTTTTATAATAATGATAGTTAGTTTAAGCGTGATCAAATACCTGGTACAGAGTACAAGCTCTACGAAAAAAAAATTTTAAATAATTTGGGTAATTCGGGTATACCCAAAACCCAACAAACGTACCCTTTACCCGACCTGAAAAAAATTGGGTTACCCGATTACCCGAAAAAATTTACCCGATACCCGATTTACCCGACCCGATTTACCCGATACCCGAAAAAATCGGGTGGGTAATTCGGGTATCGGGTATTTTCGACCGGGCTAGCGTAATGTGCGTAAACGTTCCCTCCCCTCTTCCTTGGTTTTCTCTCTATATTTTTATGTAAGATCCAAGCTTATACGGAGTATTAAACTAGACATATAATCACTTAATTAAAATAAAAACTATGATTTAATATTTATATATGAAAAAACAATATAAGTAATCTTTAAATATTATTAAAAGATAACCCTTAATTCTAAATTGAAGAAATCAGGGTCATTGATTGTATTTTAATCCTATATTTTCCACCATTAGATTATTTGCTGACATCATCTGTGTGAACCTTTTTTATTTTTGTCCATAAATTTTATAAAACGTATATTACGTTTTATATAAATTCTATTAATAACAATTAAATCTCACCAAAAATAAAATGAATTAAATTAGGAATTTTATTAATGACAATTAAATCTCACAAAAAATCTCTAAATATTATTAAAAGAGAACATTTAATTCTAAATTGAAGAAATCAGGGTCATTGATTGTATTTTAATCCTATATTTTCCACCATTGGATTATTTGCTGACATCATCTGTGTGAATCTTTTTTATTTTTGTCCATAAATTTTATAAAACGTATATTACGTTTTAAATTATAAATTCTATTAATAACAATTAAATCTCACCAAAAATAAAATGAATTAAATTATGAATTCTATTAATGACAATTAAATCTCACCAAAAATAAAATGAATTAAATTAGGAATTCTATTAATGACAATTAAATCTCATCAAAAATAAAATAAATTAAATTAGGAATTCTATTAGTGACAATTTAATCTCACCAAAAATAAAATGAAAAAATACGTCCCACCCCTCATTACCAGTACCCCTACGCTCTCTTTCTCGTTTATTTACATAATTTATCTAACTTAAGTTTTGTAGTGGAGAAGAAAATTGGGGAAAGAAGAAATAAAATATATGTGGGCTTCGATCCGTGTGGATCAGTCATGTGTTCGATCATCATGGAAGAAGAGGGAATGATATAGAGATAAATTTTGTTTGGATTCTACTTTAATTTGATCGTAGTTTAGATCGATTTTGGGTACGTTTTAGATTATGTTTCTTTTATTTTGTTTCAACTATGAAGTTCCAATCTATAAAACTTTTCGATTTAAGTTTAAACCCCTAATGGTTATGTTTTCTGAATGTGCTTCGATTTTTGTTCTTATGATCTGTATTGTTGATTTTGATTTTTTAAGTTATAGGTATCTGGAGAGCAAAATGATGGAAACAGCAACACCACTACCTCTCATCCATTGTTTCGATTTGGAAGATATGTCCACTAGGTAGTGAATTTGTATATGTCGATTTTGTTTTTTATTTTTACATTTTTGTATATGAACTTAGTCAATGATTTTTTATGGCTTATCAGGTCGTGAATGGAAGATATACTCAAGTCAATGTCTATAATGCTTTACTCATTCGATCCCTTCGTGGATTTGGAGATGGAATTCAAACCCTTATACCAGTGAGTGATCCACATATTCTACAACTCAGCAAAACCCAGTGGTGATATGTGTTTTGATTTATTGTAAAAAACATCTTTTTATAAAAATACAAATTTGGCTCTCATAAATAAGTTATTCACCAATCCTTTTATAGTATTATAAAAAAACATCTTTTAGACTCAATAGCAAAGAAAAGACAAAGTTTTAGTATACCATGTAAATAAATTACATCGATAAATCTTATTGGAAAATGGTTGGGGTTTATTAATTTTGGTTAATTAGCAGATTTTTTTTGGTTACCTTGCATTGTCTGGGCATGCCGAGAAGTATAGTAAGAACCTTGCACAACCTTATTCTTTCGTTTAACTTGTTTGAATCTTATTATTGAGTTTACTTTCTCAATGATAAATGGGTACACCCTACACTCTTGAAAATAGGGTTGGGAATATTGTGAGTATCAAAATTTTCTCGGCAATAAGATAAGATATTAGTATAAAAGTTGCAATATAAACCATTTTTAATTACATAATAATAACTAAACAAAAATATGTTAAGGATTATCTTTATAATTTACATTGCAATATATAACATAAAAATAGTATGAAATTTGCATTATGTTCCATTCCATGCCTCACAAACATGTTTATGGAACGGAATTACTCATTCTATTATCTTGCTTTTACGATTACCTATCCATTTCATTTTTTTGTTGTTCCATTCATTGCAACCTCACATATCTCAAATAAGTAATTCAGAAATCCATCACAAAACAGAAAATGTTTTATAAACTCCTATAAGGGAAGAAGAAAGATAAGACTAAATGAGTGTATGGTTTTAATCTAATTTTGATGTTCTTTCATCTCTATTTGCGTGTTTCTAGCTTGTTTGTAGTATTGTCTATAAAATATTGTTGTTATATTTGAAAGTTCATTTTATCCTTGTCATCTTTTTGTGTGTATATTTTAATCTTTTAGGTTTTTTAGAGTATTTGAGGCACCGTTTCTGCTTGGGAGTGGGGTGAAGTCAAGGGCCATAAAACTGGAGGGTAGTTGTATTTAGAGCCACTTGAATATTGAAGATTTTTGTTGGCATTAATTTCAATAATAATATGTACCCTAGAAGATATATCATAACTATAGTTTATTTTTTTATAACATTTTTTGTATTTTTTTTTAAATGTTGTACAGGTGATGGCTACAAGGTGTGGTCACTCATGTCCAGGATCAAGGGTAATTTGGTAACTCTTTAAATATTACACTCTATTAAAGAGTACAAACGAATATTTTAACTTTTTGTTCCTTATGAAAGAGGCAAGGGTATAGGATTTTTTTTAAATATTTGTTAATGGAAAATACATTTTCATTTTTTTCGCATATAGACCATTTATGTAAAAACAACATTTCAAATATGGACCATTTATGTACTTTTCTTCACAAGCGAACCATTTATGTAGTATAGAAATTTTAATTTTAATTAGTAGGTCATTAATATGACAATTTTATAGGGAAAATTTGTTTTTAGTATTGAAATTTGCAAAAAATAAAAAAGTTATTAACGGCATTGTACTTTAAAAAATATATATATTTTTTGGATTATTTTTAGATGATATTGAAACGTTTCATTTTTTCCTACATTGAAGCTCATTTGTAGGAAAGTGTTCTGGAAGCGAATTTCATTAATAGCGTTGAACTTTGCAAAAGAATTCATTAATAGCATCGTAGTTTTCAAAATAACTTTTTTTGGAATTCTTTAACTGCAGGTAGATTCCTTGAATTCCTACCTTGATGAACATATGTGGAGAAATCTTTTTGGAAAATGATAAAATCCTGATATGACAACCCGAACAAGAAAAAGAAAAACTCAGTTTTGACTAACCCAATTTATTCAAAATCTTTATTTATTTTAATAGCTTACACACCATTTAGATTGTCATATGAAATAACTTCGAGATGTAATAAAGCTAAAAAGTTATTTGACATGTTTTGTACTTTCTAATGATCATTACCATGAAACATTTGAAGGATTTTTTTTACCAGAAAGAATGTGATCAATATACAAAACAATGTTGCATATTCAGGACCTGATGTTCTTAATTTATTGTAATAAGGTCTTTTTGTAAAAATTGATTGACCCTACCCAACTCTCCCGTGCAAGGTAATGGATTTATGTTGTTCTAAATGTGTCAAAATGCTTCACTTAGGTTTACTCAACATATGGTCTGTGGACTATCCATATTGATTTCATGATTGAGAATAACACATCACATCAACCAAGATCAGACCATCAACCATATTAGTGACCCCACTGAGATTAGCAATGTACGTTGAGTAATCATCCAAAACAGGCAACGAACTTTGAATTGTATTAAATCTTGAATCAATTCTCAAATTGTACATCAAACTTCCAACATTAAACCTTGAACATTTTCAATTAATGTTATCGAGTTGCTATGCATTTGATTATTTAGGTATATCGTAAATTGTTTAGCTTCC